GGGGTGTTAGGTGAGTGGAGGCAAGCATGCCAGAGCAGGAAAAAACGTGAAGTCCTCACAATGGCAGACAGTCCCAGCCTAACAACTGCAACCAGGTGTACTGGAACTAAGTGCTGCAGTCACACTAACAAAGGCTTTGTTCAGCAACAAAATTTCTGGTCCCAAATAGGATTATTAAGCAAGACCTACCTGTAGTTCTTTCTTACAGGTAGGTCTTGCTTAATAATCCTATTTGGGAATTATGGGCAATTCTGTTGCTAAGTGATGCAGTTCTGTTGCTAAGTGATGCAGTCATTAAACAAGACCACTGCTACAATTGTTAAATGAGATATCACATGCCTGTGACTTGCAAATTTACCTGGCTGTCCGAATCCAGCTGTCAGGTGCACAAAATAGAGATCATGTGACCACAGGATGCTGCAACACTTGTAATTCCCCACTAGTTGTAAAGTGCCCAATCTTGATCATGGGGACACTGCAACAGCCAGAGGTGTGAGGACCATTTTCAATCACATTGCAACTTCGAACGATAGCTAAACAGGCCTGTTGTTAAGCAGGGTCTACTTATAGTTTCAAATACATAATTCACTTTTTTCACACAACCATACCATTAATTATGCATTTCTTTGGACATTCAACTATTTTTCCTTACATTGTTAATAATGTAAGAGAAAATGATGCAGATAAATTGTTCATTTGTTATTAAAATATTTGGAAGGATCCAAATAAAAAAGAATGTCATAGAAATGTTGTGAAGTAGCCTGAACACAATTTTGAGTACTAAAATGCAATGTTGATATCTCATAATCATGTGAGATTTAGGTAGCATTTAAAACTAGCACAGCATATTAAAAGGCAGCCTTTGTATGATCTATGCTTTTGGGACGGGGGAATCGTAATTTTTAAATGCCCACTTTACTTTTTAAAGCGATTTAATTTATCCTATGGGTTTAATACATTTCTATTTTTAAACTGGATCTATACATCTAAATCAGGATAATGAAAGTATGAGGAAAGTATTTAATAAATAAACTGCAGAAGAAAAAGCACATCGTATATATGAGTGCATTTACTTTTCTGGACAACCTAAATCAGTTATTACCTCACAGAACCACTGCTGTTGTAGGATCAAATGGAGGAAGTGAACATTATCTACCCTATTCTGAGCACTTCAGGGGAAGTATGAGATTAAAAATTAAGGGTAGATTAAACCAATAGAGGAGCAAAAGACAAAAAGAAGGTGACCGAAGAAGCAGGAAATCATGGAAAATAAGTGTGAAGAATGCCTGATTTTTGTAGTCCCCATTTCCTAACATTTTAAAGTTTTGTATAACTGTTAGGATAATTCCAACCACTAAGGAAATAAAAGACTATTCAGTCCGTCTCCCACTGACTAAACTAGTTGTTCCTACACTTACTCACCGATGTCGTTGTAACAGTGCTTTTCCTCGGAAACATGGAGAAACTACCAAAACTTTGAAGCTTGTAGCACAGCGCCCAGGAGTAGTATCCTCTACCTCCTTACAGTGTATAAAATAAAGACATTATTTTATAAAGAAATATACATATATAAAATTTAGAATGTAACAATACATTTAATAACCTGCATACATTTTATTTACATCCAAACATAATGGGGAAGTAAATTTTTAAAGGAGATGTTAAAAAGAATATGAAAAGCTAGTTTATTATCAGGAAATTACAGGGAATAAAAATGGAAGGGATCTCAGAAAAGAGTGCATTAGTTTAACAAAATACTATTAGAAAATGAAATGTGCACCAAATAAGCTTAATAAGAAGGAAAAAGAGTCTCAAAACACCCCAAAATTTGGGTTAAAAATATCCATAATATACCGGTAATCCTAGAAATATCTATTTTAAAACAATCTACCACTGTATTTAAGAAGCTTACCAAATACTTAAAAGAATCATAAGGATCAAATCCTACTGAATTTAGGGGAAATTATTTCTGTGTCAACATGCTTAGAACAGGTCTTCAAATAGGCTCCTGTCATTTTGGTCTGGCCTAATGTTATAGGCATTTATTATTTCTCTTTCTTTTACCTGCATTACTGTGTTGAAAGTATGATGTTATTCCCATCACTCTGGGAAGACATTTTTAAATTAGTTGGCATGACAGCAGCCTATTAAAATAGCAAACACACTCATACCCCAGCAAAGAGCAAGATTTAAAGTTAATAATGTCAATTTGACACTGAGAATTAAAAAGAGTCATTTACTTCTGAAAAAGTAGGGGAAATTTAAAGCCATTTTTCCTCAAACTATTCTAAAAGTGCTTTTCAGGAGGCAACTGGACTTTCTTGTTTTTTTAGTTTGAAGACATTTCATTTCTCATCCAAGAAGTTTCTTCAGCTCTTCCATTCCCCACCATCCAGGCAGAGCTGAAGAAGCTTCTTGGAGGAGAAGGGGAAAGTCTTCAAAGAAAAAACAAGAAAGTCCAGTTGCCTCTTGAAAAAAAGCACCTTTGGGACAACCATGACCTGGATGACTGAGAATCTCTACAGACTTCCCCCCCCCAACCTGGTGTGCTCTAAAGTGCATTCTCTCTGGGAGGGGATAATGGAAAACACATTCTGAAAACACCAAGTCATGAAAACTGCTTTATCCTGTCAGAGTAGTAGAAGTATCTTGTAGCCCTTCAGTGGAATAATTATTTTTAACGAGAGAGGAACATTTGCATTTTTCAATAGAACGTAGGCTTTTAAGAGGCACAAAACTTTAAACAACAATGGCACACTATGATTGACGGAGACGAAAACTAAGCTGGAAAATGATTAAGGCGTGTACTTAGAAAAATCAACGTAAAATAGCATTGCAAAAGAACAAGCAAGGGTCGCCATATGCTTTAGAGGGGTTTTTAAATCAAATTTTAGAGCAGAAAGGATGCCAGACTTAAATCGAGCCCTTTAGACTGCCAGCTTTCGGGCAGTGAAGGGGAAGCTGCCCCATTTACCACGTGCTCGGCCTCGAGTCCCTGAAGCAGCCTCTCGCGAAGGGCCTCCGCGCTGAGAGTTCTGGACGGCTCCATTGCACCCCCTGAATGAAAGAGAAGCCAGTAACTTTCATTTCCGCCCTTGGGTGACGTCACATCCTCTACGTTGCAGTCTGTAGTTTACGTAGCCAATCAACTTGCAAAACATCACTCCGATGGTTTCATCCCATTTCATCCCTAGAGCAACCAAGGGAAGAGTGATACAGCAGGCCAGCCGGTCCTAAAAGTTATCCTAAAATCCTTCTTCGATGTGTGCTCTCTGAGTTTGCTTGTTTTCTTGCAGACGTTTCATTACTCAAACTAGGCAACATCATCAGTGCTAGTAAGGAGTGGGGTTTTCTATTCTATTCTACTGGCTTGCCTATCACTGTTGGTCTTAGAGATTCTTTGGTTGGGCTGCTTATTCACGGCTTCTTTGGCAGTATTCTTGATCGAGGTATTGTTTTCTTTATTGTTGGTCTGATGTTAATCTATGCTGATCTGGGTGCTGACTGCTGGAGAGATGCTTGGGTCTTTTTGTTTCTTTTTGGGCTGGGAGACTTATCTAGAGATTGTTCAATGTTATTACAGTCTCAGAATAAGTGATTTAGCAATAGCAATTAGACTTATATACCGCTTTATACTGCTTTTACAGCCCTCTCTAAGAGGTTTACAGAGTCAGCCTATTTTCCCCCAACAATCTGTCCTCATTTTATCGACATGGGAAGGATGGAAGACTGAGTCAACCTTGAGCCAGGTGAGATTCGAACTGCTGAACTGCAGGTAACCAGCTATCAGCAGAAGTAGTCTGCAGTACTGCACTCTAACCATTGGGCCACCTCGGCTCTTTTGCATGGATTATAGATTGTGTTAATGTGTATCTGTCTATTGATGGGTGATTTGTCAGGTCTAGAAACTGCGTTTTGGGACTTGGCTTGGTCTGGGATGGATTAAACCTTCGTGGTTTAGGAATACTAAACCTTCTTTGCAATTCTATGTAAATGTATGCATACCTTTAGAGTACGAACAGTATACAGAACACATACGTATAATTTTTTTAAGTTAATATTTAAAAAAAATAAATCTAAGTTTATACTCTGACTGCAAGCCACACTTTTTAAAATGCCACCTCGATTCGCATCTCTAGAGCTCCTTCCTGTTAATTAGCTCTTCTTACGTCATCCACTTGCAGTACTGCAGTTTTTCCCCGTGTGGGCGGGACATCTCGCTGCCTTCGCCAATAGAATGTAAGCAAGGGATCGTTTGAAGAAACGGTCAGTCGCATGGAGGGGAAGATTGCTAGGCAACGGTCTACCGTTTGCTGGGATCGCGAGGGTAGGGCAGGTTCGAAAGGGGCTTGGCGACGAGAACGGGGAAGGCTGGGGCTGGAAAGGTGCAGGGCATGACGTCACCTGTCTGCTTTATTGGTCGCTCAAGCTGCATCCGAAGGGAAAGGAGACTCTGCTAAATAGTAAAAGCCACTATATGCAGGATTAGGGTTGCATTCCAGAGTCTGGGTTGCACAGTAGGCAGAAATTCAACAGGTGCTGTTTTTCCCCCCTCCTCCACTTGGGAATGCAGGAGTTTTAATTTCAGATATTTTGGTGTGGAATCCCGTTGGTTGGCAAAAATTCACATGCCTCCTCCCTGCCATGAAGATACAAAGGAGTCGAATTTGTGATTCGGGTGTCAAAATCCTAGCAGAATAGCTCGCAAGTAGACAAAATAACACTAGGAAAGAGCTTGACCGCAATTCCAACAGCACCAGCCAGATGACTGCTAGAAAGGGATGCTGGGAATTGTAGTTCAAAAACATTTGTGAGCTACCGATTCCCTGGCAGTTATCAGCCCTGTTTGATGGATTCTGATGATGGGTGGATACAATTATGGGTGTTCAGCTTTTCTAACACTTGGTTTTTTTCTTTCATGTAGGTTTCTTCAGCGTGCCCTTCCTTTTGTGTGAGAGATGGTGGTGGAAGTATGTGGCTTCTTTGGGGTATATCTACTATACTGCACCAATCCCCGTTACCAGGGGAGGATCTACATTGGTTTCACTGTCAATCCCGAACGACGCATAGACCAACACAATGGTGGGAAACGGTGTGGTGGGGCCTGGAAGACGAGTGGACGTGGGCCATGGTAATTCTTGAGTGTGTAAAAAATGCTACGTTCGCAAATAATTTCTGAAGTTAATACAGTTCCTTCTTAGCCCCAACCAGATGTAGGGGGGGAAACTTGGGAAGCTCCACAGGACTGTTTCCCAATCTTAGTCATTTTAAGATGTGGCCTTCAGCTCTCAGAATATCCCAGCCAGCAGGTATTCTGGGAGTTGAAGTCCACAAGTCTTAACAATGACTAAGGTAAGAAAACACTGCTGTAGAAGAAAGCATTTTTTCACTATCTGGTTTTTCTTTTTTGTGATGAGATTTGAGTGAGGCAAAAAAAATTTGAAGGCTGAAATTTGAGCTTTTGGGGACAAGTGAGTTGCTGTCCTTTTTGAGCTTTATGGATTTCTTTCTTCTTGCAGGGACATGGTGTTGATTGTTCATGGTTTCCCCTCTGATGTAGCTGCTTTGCGCGTAAGGCATTTCTCAGTACTTATTTATTTTCTTTCTTTCTCAGGATTCACAGAATATGACAAGCTAAAACATGGATAGCTAGGTTGAGATTCTGTGTGTTCACCAAACCTAACTAATTTGGGATTCAGTATCTTGTGGGAACACAGCCAATTGAGTATAGATATTTTTTGACTTACAATCATTCATTTAGTCTGTTCAAAGTTGCAACAGCACAGAAGAAAATAACTTAAAACCAATCCTAACAGTTACTACTGTTGCAAGATATATCGAAATTGGTCATGTGATCAAAATTGGGTACTTGGCAATCAACATATATTTCTGATGGTTACAGTATCCCAGGGGTTATGTGATCACTATTTGCAACTTTACCAACTGGCTTCCAACAAGCAAAGTCAATATGGGGAGCTGGACCCACTTAATGACTGCATGATTCACTTAACAACTGCAGTAATTTGCTTAATCATGGCAAAAAAGGTCAAAAAGTTGCATGTGACTCACTTAACAACTACCTTGTTTAGCAACGATCCCAATTGTGGTTGTAAGTCGAGTACTATGTTACTGAAAAAGCCATAGTTAAACCCTAAGAGTAGATGGACAGATGTTCCCTTTCTGTTCGTTCCTTCCTACGTTTCAGCAACCCTTTTTGATTTATCCCTTCTGTCTTTTGTTAATTTCCAGTTTGAATGGGCCTGGCAACACCCTCACTCATCCCGCCGTCTCAACCATGTCACCCGCCGGAAAACACGGGAGCGTCAGTTTGACTTCCACTTGCGTGTCTTAGCCCACATGCTGCAAACTGCCCCATGGTGCCGTCTGCCCCTCACCATACGATGGCTCAAGCAGCAGTACTGCCGAGAGTTCCCCCCAGGCTTGGAACCTCCCTTACACATGCCCATAGCCTTTGGGCCAGTTCGAGCTGTCAAAGACACTAAGCGTGCTGAACCATCATCTCCAGAGGAACAAGTGATGACCACAAAGCATTGTAGTGTCTGTCTGAAGACTTTTCAGGTAACAATCTGGAATGCTGTGTGTTCTTTCAACAAACAAAAAGGCTAGAAGTTGAGCAGATCCTAAGAGGCGAAATTGTTCTGACAAAATGGGAGCTGAACTTCTAAGATGCCACCTCTAAGGCAGAATTGGATCTGAACTGGAAGAAATAACTTTGACCAAGGAAGGGTGGGGAAGAACTGGACTTAGGGACAAAATATGGTGGCAGTTAACTCTGCATTTGTTTAGGGAGCAGCAGGTTCCTCTGGATTGAAGTGCACTCTTTCTAAAATTCTTCTCTGCAGGATGGGGATAAAGACATTCCCTTGCACTGTTTTCACCCAACTTGTACTATGGCTGCTCATATATTTTGCCTGTCTCATCTTTTCCTGGAAAAGGAACCTAATCATATCCTGCCCATCGAAGGACAGTGCCCGGGGTAAGCAATTTCTCCTGTGCATTGGGGGAATGTGGAGGGGGTATAGATGTTGGTATTCTGTCCTTCCACCTGTTTCCCAATTATTAGCTCCATTTATTTATTTATTGGTTTTTATCCCACCTTTATAGGGACGCAGTGGCTCAGTGGCTAAGACGCTGAGCTTGTTGATCAGAAAGGTTGGCAGTTCGAATCCCTAGCACCTCGTAACGGAATGAACTCCCGTTACTTGTCCCAGATTCTGTCCATCTAGCAGTTCAAAAACATGTAAAAATGCAAGTAGAAAAATAGGGACTATCTTTGGTGGGAAGGTAACAGTGTTCCGTGCACCTTTGGGGTTTAGTCATGCCGGCCACATGACCATGGACACATCTTCGGACAGCGCTCTTCAGCTTTGAAACAGAGATGAGCACTGCCCCCTAGAGTCGGGAATGACTAGCACATATGTGCGAGGGGAACTTTTACCAATCTTTATTATTTTATAACTAACTTAAGGTGACAGTGAACATACCTAACACGCCTTCCTCTTCCTATTTTCCCCATAAGAGTCCTGTGAGGTGGGTTGAGATGAAAATGTGACTGGCCTAAAGTCACCAGGCCAGCTTTTGTGCCTGATGTAAGACTAAACTAACAATATCGTGGTTCCCCCCTTTTCCTCAGCTGCAAAAATCTTATCCTTTGGGGAGATCTGATTCGTCATCATAAAGGTTGCTATGGTAACATAGAGGCCGATCCCACCTCCTCTCAGGTAAAGCTCTTACTGTTACTTTTGTGTGGTCTATCTTGAAATGTTTACTTTCTGAATTAAGTTCAACAGTTTTTATGTCCTGTTTTAATTGAAACTTTGAATTCTGAGTTAATCTTTTCTTCTCTAAATCAACATTTTTTCTTTTCACCGATAACAATTTTGGTTACAATTTAGGCAATTTCTTTATTTTTCCTATATATATTGTACCTGCTTCACTTATATCATCACCCAATATAAATTACTTTTGTGCTGCAGAAACACTGGGCTGATGAACTGCAACCATGAAGGAGGAGACCTATAAATGTGACCAAGACCTATTTCCTTGCTGAGAGTGGATCAGAGGATCTCGACATGGTTCAGCTTCTCTTAGTCTGATATCCAAAAGGCTAAAAAACTAAGTAGGGCTGGATTCTCTGCTCGTGTGGCCCACCCCAGAATCATGTAACAAACAATATTTAATGTTCATTAAGTGGAATAATTAAATTGAAGGACCATAGTCATGCTGGATGTTTACGGATTGTGAGGCAGGAATGCTTGGGAAGTGCAGAATCATTAGCTTAGATGAGAAAAACTAGTTCCAATTTTCCGTTTCCAAAATTTCTGGCTGCAAAGTACGTAAGTTTGGTGTTTTTTTAGACTGAAGGAGTCAGTAAACTTAAAACAAATATGTAAATAAGATAGCTATTGTTTTATACTGTATCTATAGCGCATTGAATGCTTAAATGGATTGTAAAAAAGACACTCTGAAGTGCAGAGATTCTTCAGATAACACATTTCTGATTTTATATGGCCTTTTTCTCATTTATGCAAAGCATTTAACAAACACTTTCAGTAATTCTTACAACTCTGTTTTTAGCTTGGCATTAACCAAATATTGCAGATGAGAGGGCTTACCTAAACTCTCTAAATAAATTCATGCCTCTAAATAAATTCATGGGGTTTAAAAGTCCATCAGTTGAACCATCAAGGTAGAATTATGTTTTTAATGAAGTTAACTGACATGAGTCTTTGTTGATTATGATAGTGTACAAAATAAACAAGCTTGAAAGTCTGTATTATAAAGATAGCAGTTATCCTATATGCTAAAAAGACAGCCATAGAAACTGAAGAGTATATAAAAGATCATTCCTAGAAAATAAATATTCCCCACATAATGACCACATGATCAAGCCACAGGATTTGAAGTTACTCCAGATTTTATCTGTGGTGTACTGTTTTCAAAAAGGACCCAGCTTTAAAGAAAGGTCTCCCCCCCCCCCCCACATGAAATATATGTACTGCTGTTAGAATAGGATCTTAAGCTTGAAAAGCCAAAATGATTTAACAATATATTAAAACGAATGTCTGTCTTTGTGAAAATTAATTTATGAATTCTGTAATCAAAAGTGTCTAAGCAGTTTTCAGACTGTTTGTTAAAAAGGGGGAAATAACTTATTATGTAAACAAATGTTGCACTGGTTTTCTACTGTACAGAATAAAAAATGAATCATTAAATAGCCAAGTCATTTTCACTTCACATTATTCCAGCATGGCCAGTTGTGAGGAATGCTGGGAGCTGGTATTTAGCAGCCACTGGAAGGCCACAGTTTTCTAACCTTGCAGTAAAAGTGTCATCATTCCTAAAGATTTGCCACAGCGCAATATAAAAATCCATCCCAGCAAGCATAATGTACAATGAGGCCACTTTGCTTTCTGTTTTCCCATCTGGCCTGCCTTCCCCAAATTGCACTGCAAAACCTATATCTACATCTGGGCAGCTTGACGTGCAATAGGACTGAAGTCTCCATGATGGGAATATATTCTGGATCTAAATTTGCATTTAAGAGCATACCAGGTCAGTGCTTCTAGGTCAATCAATCAGTCTTGCCTCTTACTTAAAACTTGGAATTTCTTTTATCCTGAGTTAATGGTTAGTATCGCTTTTCCACCTAGCTCCATCACTTTAGAAGTTAAATCTGTGGACTGCTTTCCCAAATGGCTGGCAAGTATCATTTTGCTAGCCTGCTTCATTACTGGAAGATGTTTTGCCTTTAAATCTTACTTCCTTAATGAGCATCATTTGTTTTGGGCATAAGTACAGCGAAGCAGAGAAAGGATTTTTCTGATTTTACAAGGCTTTAGCCGATACAAAAATACTGATCAAAATTAGCAATTTTCCCAGGAGCATCCACTCCCATTCTAGATCAAGTAAAATGTGGATGAATAGTCTTTTGATTTGGATTGAGTCTCAGTTCTCCTATCGTTACTGAATGGCATAAATATGTACAGATTTTCCTTTGTACATTCAACAGAACGGATGCCCCTGAGAGCTGTGTGTCCTCAGACTCATTTTGATCATATTCAAGATGTGGACAAACAAAAAATAGTCAACAATCCACACCACTCCTACCCTTGGTCTAGATTCCAAACCCTGCAGGACACAAACTGAGCTACCTTTATTCCCCGGTCATACAGGGCTTCTCAATCTGTTGCCCAAACTGGAAGCAGTAGATCCTTTTGTCAAGATCTTCCTTGGCTGCGAACAAAGTAGAGGACAGACAATCAGAATCATAAGAAAATCAAGACCGGTACTCTTTCAAATGAGCCATATTTTAAGCTGAAATTGGTCAGCCTTCAACACTTAGAAAAGGATTGAAGAGGACATTCAGGAAAAAAAATGATACAGTCACTTAAAACAAAAATGAAAAAAATCAGCTTGCTTGTCATTCATTCATATATATTCTGGACTTGTGGTATAGGCAGTCCTCGATTTACAGCCAGTCGCTTAGTGACTATTCAAAGTTATGATGAACCCTCCAATAGATACTTACAACCCGGTTTTGATGTTCTGACATCAGGTGCCCCCCCTCCTATGATCACATGACTGCATTTTAGGCACTCAGCAACCGTCTGCATTTATGGTAATCCATGGTCAAGTGATTGCAATTTACGATGTTTTTGCTGGAAACTGGAGTTTACTTCTGGTTTCTGGCAAAACCTGCTCCATAGTGAACAACAGGTTCACAATGACTGTTCGCTTAATGTCCACATGAAAAAGGTAGTAAAATTGGGTCTGGGCGCATGGTGATTTGCTTTATGACCATCATGATTTACGACTATAATTTCCAGGTTCAATCATAGTCATAACTTGTGGACCACCTGTCGGGTCTTTAAACAGATACTTTGCAAGCTCATTGGTTCTCTGATTCTAAAGATGCCAGAGGTTGAAACTAGGATGCAGAAGTTATTTTAAAAGGAAAAAAAAGCCACTTGCTCGGCTACACAACTACTTTTAACACAGGCTGCTATTAACCCAAGTATATAGACAGATTTGGCAGCATGCAATCACGTTAATAGGATCTAATGCTCTCATTTGGGGAAATACGGATCCCCTAACCTCTTTTTCTGGTTTTGCTCAGCATCCATGATCCTTGTACATAGAAAACACTTGTAAGGGTCCTTTTAATCAAGGACCCCATTAGATAATCAGGCAGGAAGCAGCTAATCCCTTTTTGGGGAAGTACAGGTACTTTGATTGACAGACCATAGCTGCAAATTTTGCAATGTGCGGTCTTGTATTTCCAGTTGCTATTCATCACATATTGTTTCCTTGCAAGATTAACTGGAAAATGGAGGCTATTAGCTCAGAAGTGGCTGGTGTTCTGCATTGGGTGATTTTTCTGGCCAGAAATTTTGTCTAACAACCGGCGTAGGGTCCTTTGGAGTTTAATAGTTAAATGCTTCTTCTCCTGAATCAGAATTGGCTAAATTTCTGGGGTGTATCTAATAAGAGTATTTTTTAACTGTAGCAACTTAACAGCATAGACTTCAACTCCCAGAATTCTTCAGCCAGCCATGCAGACCAAAATCCATGCTGGTTGGGGAATTCTGAGAGCTGAAATCCACACACCTCTTATAGCCGCTAAGGTTGAGAAACAGTGGTTTAATACATTGTACATAAAAACAACTCAAATAAGTGTATTAATCAGACACAGTTCCTGTGTCCAATGAGGCTGATATCTGGATAACTATGCAAAAAGACACTCAAGTAAGGCTGATTGATTATATTGGAATTTGCCTCCCACTTCTTTAATCACACAACAACCCCCATCTCCTTAAAACAGGAGCAGGAATCCTGTAGCCTTCCCATTGTTGATTTCTCCTGGCAGCATCCCTCACCATGCACAATGTTAGCTAGGACTGTAGTTCAGGATTCTCGAGGTCACTATATACCCCATCTGTTTTTCATCAGGTGTTTGTTTCAATCTCCAGCCAATGGGAACTTCATAGCTCCAATGAAAATGGTTTTTTCTCCATCCTAATAATCTTCTTTCTTCTGCAATCTGAATGTTTGTTACAGTATTTCTCAACCTTAATACAAATGGACTTCAGCTCCCAGAATTCCCCAGGCAGCATGATAGCTGGGTCATTCTAGGAATTGAAGTCCACATATGTTCAAGCCCGAGAAATACTGATTTATGATGATCCCTTAAGAAGCAAATGTCAATAAAGATTTATTAGGTCATGCTCCTCTTGCCCACATTTCCTTTCAACTTGCATATCTATTTTTTGCCTTAGTTTTAGCTCCTTCTTTTATCCCCAAGAACGCAAGATGGCCTACATGGGGATTTAGTGAATGGTGAGTTTTCCAACCACACAACCAAGAGAAGAGGGGTACCTACCATGAGTGGCGTCTCTGGTGATTCACAACATGTGAACGCCGTGTGAACCTCTTTCCGCAGTACGTGCACTGGTGAGGCTTCTCTCCTGAATGAATGAGGAGATGTTTTGTGAGGGTTGTGTTCCGGTTGAAGCTATTCCCACATTCTGGACATTGATACGGTTTCTCACCCGTGTGGATCCTTTCATGCCTGATGAGATCCCACTTCTTCCGAAACCTTTTCCCACATTCCTTACACAGATGTCGTTTCGTTTCTAGGTCGGTCGGGACTCCCCCAAACACTTCGTCCTTAATCATTCTTGTGGAAAGGCTGCCTTTCTGTGGCCTTTCTGAATCACACTTGCTCACATGTGATCTTCTGGGAAGATCACTGCTTTTTGGGAAAAGGACCTCCCCGAATTCTGGAGACATCCATCCTCGTTCCTCTGCCTCCAACTCTCCTTGGTGTAAATCCTTTGCCCCCATTCTGGCAAAACTGCCTTCTGATTGAAGAAAGAGAAGTGATAAGAAAGACCAAAATTTTAAGTACAAAATTAGTTGTACTTAAATGGGTTGTCTCAATTGCAATCAATATGCCAAGGTCCACAGGGTGTGTGTGCATTTGTGTTGTCCTAAGCATGCTTTTTGGAATTTTTTTCCTCTCAGACTATAGCTTCCTGAATTATTCTGGAAGTACTTTGAAGAATTATCTGATGGATTTTTTCCTTTTTTCTTTCTTTTGGAACGGATGTTAGAAGAAAGGTATAGTGGTGAGATGAGAAAACGAGTAAAGATGATACAATTCTTGTAGTACACACATCATCAGTGCTTTGCAGTTTCTTGGATTCTATTCCATGCTATTTTTTATATCTAAACTATATATACTGCTTTGCACAAGTTATGTACATTTACAAGTAGGGCTTCTTTAATGGTACCAAAGTCACCTGTGTCAAGACTTTGGTTAGAAGCACAAAAATGAATTGGTATTGGTTGACCATTTAATTTAACCACTCTTTTCTTGCTTTTAGCACATCACTTCCCCCTTTCCCGTTTTAAGCCATTAATGTGTTAGACGTTTTTGTACTTTTTTCAGTTTTAGATGCATTTGCTTTTTTATGTTTAGGTGGAATATATCTGCAAGAGCCAAGCATGCATGTTATGGAGTAACAGTGTTTATTAATATTTGTGTTTTAAAGTTTTAGCTTTAATGTTAAGATTAAAATATTGATGAAGTGCTGTTTGGTGATATTGTTTGGGGATTGTTATTGTTAATTTACTATAGATTTGTTTCACCAAACAGATTTTGCATAAAATGCAGTCCCACATTAACACCATAAATAAAACATTTATATACATTCTTAAAAAAAGAGACCAAAATTTTATAGTTTCTAAGTTCTAAACTGAGGTACCAAGGTATATAGTACAGGTAGTTCTTGATTTACGACAGCATCTCCATGTTTGGCAACTTGCTCATACACTATATTGCCAAAAGTATTCGCTCACCTGCCTTTACTCGCATATGAACTTACTGTAAGTGACATCCCATCCCTAATCCATAGGGTTCAATATGACGTCGGTCCACCTTTTGCAGGTATAACAGCTTCAACTCTTCTAGGAAGGGTGTCCACAAGGTTTAGGAGTGTGTTTATGGGGATGTTTGACCATTCTTCCAGAAGCGCACTTGTGAGGTCACACATTGATGTTGGAGGGGGTTTATGTGGCCTATCACTTCGTGGCCGAGTTGCTGTCGTTCCCAAATACTTCCACGTTCTTATAATACAGCTGATAGTTGACAGTGGAATATTTAGGAGCGAGGAAATTTCACGACTGGATTTGTTGCACAAGTGGCATCCTATCAGTTCCACGCTGGAATTCACTGAGCTCCAGAGAGCAATCCATTCTTTCACAAATGTTTGTAAAAATAGTCTGCATGCTTAGGTACTTATTTTATACACCTGTGGCCATGGAAGTGATTGGAACACCTGATTCTGATTATTTGGATGGGTGAGCGAATACTTTTGGCAATATGGTGTATTTATGATGGTTGCAGTATCCCAGCTTCATGTGATCACCTTCTGGCAAGTAAAATCACCAGGGAAGCCAGATACACCTAACAACTGTATTAATAATTTAACATCTGCAGTGATTCATTTAACAACTGTGGCAAGAAAGGTTATACAATTGGACAAACTCACTTAACTAGCACGCTTGGCAACAGAAATTTTGGGCTCAATTGTGGTGTTAAGTTGAGGACTACATATAGTGAGGAAAAGTGTTAAAGAACTGCCACCAGCCAGGATTAAACTGAAAAGCTAAAGTGCAGAGGCAGAACACTAACATACATTAAGACATAATGTGACTTACTTTATTTAGGACAACAATTAAGATGTTCACATTGTTGGGAAGTGGTTCATGATAATGTAAAAACTCACCCCTGCGGTCCACACATTGAACTAAGACATAACATGGTTATCTGGTTTTGGCTTAATGGATTTAGCGATTGTGGTTTGCAAATATGGGTTGTGGCCTAGCCTATGGAAATCCAGAGAGTTATCATTTATTTTTCAAACGATTAAAATAGGGCATATCTTAGCAGAATGTACAAAACTGGCCACAATACAGCCCACTATAAGAGTTTTCTCTTTTTCTTGCTTAGAAAATAAGCAAGGTTATCTCTGTATTTTCTGATTCCTTAAAAACTGTATTCCATTTGTTTCTAATTTGATGCATGCTTTTTCACAACCGGAAGTACTTTTAAGTGTTGACAAATGACTTTTCTGCAAGCCTTATATTTACACTTCATTTATACTACAGATACTAAACTATTCAGAGTTCCATGCCATCACCTGCCCTGAGGAATGTGCACAGAGGACTTCCTCAGCTGTTTATTTAAAAACAGATTGCAAATACTCATTTCTAAAAATTATGATTAAAATAAAAAATATTGTTGTGGTCCACCAACGGCCTACGGAGCTGGCAGCAGAGTCGGACAGTGAGGAGATTGGGGAGGAACATGGGCTGGTCCTGGAGTCTGGGGAAGGCTCAGAGGAGGGCTGTATGTCAGCGGCAGATGGGGGAGGGGGGGCAGGGCTATCTGTGAGTTATCTGCTGCCTCTGGAGTCTGATTATCAGCGAGGCAGAGAACAGGGGGAGGCCTGTTCCCAGTGTGCACATGGGCAGAGCTGCCAGAAGGCAAAAGCAGTTAAGACAAAAGGGGTGACTCGGAAGGAAGACTTGGAGATGACTGGCCCCTCCCATAAGATAAGGAGCAATTTTGTTCGGTTTAAACTCTAAAACTCCACTTGATTCTGTGCTCCCTTTGGCCTCGCAAGACTAATTGGCAATTAGGTCTTTGGCAGCATTTCAAGGAAGATCAAGGTGGGGGCTTATCAGCCTTACCCTGAAAGACTGTGTCATACTTCTGTCGGACTCTTGACTGACGGGTTGTGAATCATCACGGGCTGTGAATGAACATAATTCACAGCCATTTAAATAAAAAGTGTGTGATTTTTACTGTCTCAGGAAGCCTAGGTCAGACCAATTACGATTAAAATATAGGTATCCTCAATTTACAACCATTTGTTTAGTGAACCAGAGTACAATAGCACTGAAAAAAATGATCTTTGACTGTTGTATCATCTCCATAACCACCTGATCAAAATTTAGAAGCTTGGCAACTGGCATGTATTTAAGATGGCAGTATCCCCGGGTCATTCAATCACTTTTTGGGATCTTCTGAAAAGCAAAGTCAATGGGGAAGCCAGATTCACTTAACAAGTGCAGTGATCCACTTAACATCTGTTGCAAGAAAGGATGTGAAATGGGCCAAAACTCAGTTAACAGCATCTTGCTTAGACAGAAATTTTAGGCTCAAGTTGTGATAATAAATCAAAGACTAACTGTAATAGCATATCTATGGAATATCATTTCAGCTAATCAGAATGATATACATTGCCCAAGCAGAGGATATGACTCCTAAAATAAGTAAGTTATGGCCCTAGTGTTAAAGTCAGCATATTGGGAAGCTCAGTTTAATAGTTATTATACATAAAATCATTTCGAAAAAAATAAGGGCAGCATTTAAAAAATTAAGCTGCTTCACATTTTGCCCTAGGATGTGAAACTTAAAAACAGTCAGAAGGTCCCTTATTCCTCATCTAATGTTCTATATCAAATTTGTCCCCTTTAAAAAAAGACCATTGGCTTACCTGTATGGTCATTCTCTGGGCGCTGCGGGAGAGTCCAAGCATGGGTTAACACAGTCCATCTGCCCTAGGACTGAGTATCTTTTTTCTTTGACCACGCCTCCCCTTTGCCTCTAATATCTCAGTTTAAAAACGAAGAACACTCTGTGAAGGACTGCCTCCACAGATCCTTGATGTCACCTTGAGGTAATCCTGATTCAGGGCGGGTTTGGACTCTCCCACAGCGCCCAGAGAATGACTGTTCAGGTAAAGCCAATGGCATTTTCCCTAGGTGCTGCTTGGAGAATCCAAGCATGGGACATACCCAAGCTATGATGTCCCTGGGCGGGGAGAACCGTTAGTGTCCGGAGCCTCCGCCACCCTCTGCAATATTCTTCGCCCCAAGGAGGTTTCGGCCGAGGCAAAGGTGTCTATCTTGTAGTTATGGATAAAGGCCGTGGGGGATGCCCACGTGGCTGCCCTACAGATGTCAATTATCGATGCCTGGGTCGCCCATGCCGCGGATGTGGCTGCACTTCTTGTAAAATGAGCAGTCACCCGGCCCGGAACCGGCTTGGCTTGAGTCTCGTACGCCAGTTTAATACCGGCCCGCAGCCAACGTCCAATGGTATGTGACGATGCTTTATGCCCTTGCGACCCAGGATGAAAGGAGACAAATAACGCTTCCGAGCCTCTAAAGTCTTTGGTCCTCTTGACGTAAATGCGAACTACCCGTCTTATGTCCAATTTGTGCCACTCCCTTTCTCTGGGATGTGACTGTTTAGGGCAGAAGTTAGGAAGGATCACTTCCTGCGCTCTGTGAAAGAGTGAATTGACTTTAGGCACAAACATCAGATCAAGTCGCAATATGATCCTACCCGGGTGTATAATGCATAGGTCCTCCCTAACCGAGAGGGCCGCTAGTTCTGACATCCTCCTAGCCGAGGTGATCGTGACCAAGAAGGCTGTTTTAATGGTCAAATATAGCAGAGATGTAGTTTGAAGTGGCTCGAACGGAGCTCCCGTCAATGCTCGAAGGACAAACAGTAAGTTCCATGACGGGTATCGGTGCACCGTAGGAGGCCTGATGTTTGATGCACCCTTCAGGAAGCTCTTCACCTGAAGGTGCTGGCTTAAGCTGCGGGAGGAACCTCTGGAAATAAAGGTGGACAGGGCTGCCACTTGGCGGCACAAGGTGTTGGGGGCCAGGCCCCTGTCCAACCCGTCTTGCAGAAAGTCCAGCACCTGCAGAATAGAAGCCTCAGTGTCTCGCAATCCCTTGTCTTGACACCATGTAGAGAATGCCCTCCAGGTGGCCT